ACAAGTGCCACGCTACTAGTAACAAGTGCCTTACTAGTAGTAACAAGAAGCTACTAGTAACAAGTGCCACGCTACTAGTAACAAGTGCCTTACTAGTAGTAACAAGGTTCGCTACTAGTAACATGTTAATCCATTGAGTCTTTAAGTAAGAGATGAGATAAACATCAAGGAAACCCCCCAGCTTCCTTGAACAAGCGCTCGCACTAATGATCGGGTTGGCAGGTGCATTGGAGGTTTTAGGAGGTAAGGTGGTGGAGGAAGCTTCAGAGAAACAAGACATGGTTAGATTTTGTCGACGTGACAATGGCGACGACAAAAGGCAAGAAAAGTAAAAGTTACTTGACAGAAGTATAATAGCCTTGTTACTAGTAGCTTCTTGTTCCTAGTAATCAATGCCAGCTACAAAGTGCTCAACTGTGCGGTTTCAGGACGCGACGAGAGAGGACCGTGGGCACGAGACGGAGAAAACGCGATGGTCGCATATAGTAACAAGTGCCACGCTAGTAGTAACAGGTGCATCGCTACTAGTAACAAGTGCCTTACTAGTAGTAACAAGGTTCGCTACTAGGAGGCCGTTGCCCGGCTAGGGGGCATTACTAGGTTGGAAGGATTGGAGGCCGCCGAAGGCCGTTGGGGGCGGAGGAGGGTCACGACTGGGTCGATGTGCCCACCGAGTGGCGGAGCCGGGTGCCCGAGGAAGAGTCGAGATTCCGCGAGTGATGAGAGCATAGATCGCCACGTAAAACTAGGGAAGTTGTTGCTTTTTCAGCAGACGTTAACCGGAGAGGAAGGGAGGGGAAGCGTCATGTGGTCGTGTGTCGCCGTTCAATGCCTCGCCTCGGATTGTGTTTTTCTTCCTTTCCAAAAACGAAAAGATGATGAATCTTATGAAATACGAAAGAGAGAAAAGATTAGACTTGTTGTGAGAGCAGGGGAGCGGCAAGTCGTGTTCCCACAGTGCCAAGCAAGAAGCCTTGGCCTAAATCTCTCTCTTAACAACGGCCGCGGCCTTTCTACAGCCACACGGGAGTCATGGCTCTGCCGCGCGGTGTCGTTCTGGTTTTGTTGATGGTAAAAAGAGTTTGTGAAAAAAGCAGTCCAGCATGCTTTGCAGCTCTTCCTTGAAAATTCGGGCTGAGCCTAGCCAAATAGATGGGGTTCATCGAGTTGCGTGGTCGTTTGCCCTTTCTTCTTCAAATTTTCACACTCAGCCGCCCAGGGGCGGCATTCTCTCGTCGCTTTGCCGAAGGCTCGGGCCGGCCCGGCGCAGGGCCGCAACCTCGTGGCAGCATGCCGGGCGGGCCGACGTGGCCCGCCTGCGCTCGTTGCAGCCCTGGAGGAGCGGGCGCCGTTGCCATCGTTCCTTTGGACGCCCTTTTGCTACCAGCCCACTGAAGAAGTCGAAGAGACTGAGCGACCTCTCAATTTGGCATTCACATCGATGATTTGACTGGGTGCGGTAACTTCGATGTTCCATACTTCAAGACCTCAGCTCCCGGACAAAGAGGGCGTCCTCCGACTCCCCGACTCACTCACTTTGAGGAATACGGCGCCAGGGGTTGACGTGTGATTTTTGAAGCAACTTTCGTCATTATCATGGTCTGGGTTGACGGTAGAGATTTCGCACATAAAAGTTGGTGTTGTAGCAGTAGTAATAGCAGCAGCAGCAGCAGGAGGAGGAGGAGGAAGAGGAGGAGGAGGAGGAGTAGTAGTAGTAGTAGTAGAGTTTCATGGACAGACACCCTTTTTTGGGATCAGGAACCAAATGAAGACACCGATGAACATGTAGAAGATGATCAGGAACACAAAGGCGCTACCAAAGATCTCTTCAGGGGCTTCCTTGGTGTCAATGGCATAGGTCTCTGTGCGCGCAGGGTGGTGGCGCCACTTTGTTTTGTCAAGCCATCAGTGTATTGTAGCCGCTGCTGACCCATGATGTCTTGGAGTCTTGCCTTGCCAACAGGCAAGCGGCAAGCTTGTCTTGGTAGACCAGAGCCTCAACGGTGGTCTCTTGTCGTTGCCGGCCGCTGGTTTGATAAAAACAAAGCCTTGCCGTCAATGACGGGCCACGGTCCTCGTGGTAGATGTCCAGTTTCGAGTGGTAGCAAGGGTTTCCAAATGCATCAGGCATCGGAGGCGTCGCACGCGGCTTGAGCTGCAGCTGAGAGGGCTTCCAGCGATCCTTGGAAGTTATTGTAGAAGCCCTCGCTGAGTCGAGGTGCCCGGCCAAAAGATAGCCTCCTTGGCTGTTTTTGCCACTGCGACATGCGCACGAAGCGTCGGACGTCTTCTTTTGCGCCTAAATGCTGGTAGTCCAGGGCAATGTCAGAAAACTCTTTGGCAAAACGAAGGTGGTTGCTTGCTGAATTGGTGCTTTGGAGGTTTCTCTTGCCAGCGTAGAGATACCCACCTGTAGGTGCGGTGAGGTCTGCGTGGCTAGCCTGGCTGGCGACTGGAGGCCGCCAATGAAACTGCGTAGAAGCGACCGTTCACGTTCGGTGACCGGGGCCTGTGTCAAGTTTCCAGAGACGCTGGATGGAATCTTGATCTCAAATTTCTCAATCTCGTGAAGAAGCTCTCCATGTTCTGAATTGTAGAGCATAGTCAAATCTGATTTCCTGGAGATGGTAGAAGAACTTCTCAAGTGCTCGTGGCATCTCAACTCTTGAGTCACTTTACCTAAAAGCCTTGTCAAGGCCAGAAATATGCCGTCAGAAGCGTCAACGAGGGAGTTGACCATGCAAGCATGCTGACGCCGCACAGAGCCGTTGAGCTCGAGTACGGCCTCGCTTTGTTCCGGCAACTCGGTTCGTGAAGACGGGGATGTGAGTGTCCTTCAGGGTCTCAGAAGAGGATGGCGCGCTCTCCCTTGCACCAGGGTGGTGCAGCCAGACATGCCCTGGAGCTATTGTGAGAACGGAACAAAGGTGCCAGACGGAGCAACAAGTCCTTGGCTCCGCTGTGCAATCGCAATGGCCCGCCCAGCTCATTTGAGGCGGCGTGCGAACCTGAAAGCTTGTCAGGCGTCGTTCGTGGTTTTGTTGCGCGAAACTCAATTTTCCATGTCGTATCATTCATAAGAAAGTACGGTGTGTGTGTGTGTGTCAACACCTTCGTATTTTCGCGTCGGTGTGTGCCGTCATGTCGGTGAGTCAGTGCGGTTGCGTACTGTCGCTGTGTCCCGAGGTGTTGTCACCATTATGGCCTGGCGCTTGGAGCCTTCGCAGACCCTCTGGCGTTTCAAGTCTTAAGACGTCTTTTTTTGTTTTACCCCTCTGTCTTCCCATGTCTTTGCATGTCTCTTGATCTTCCTTTTTCTGTTTTCCGCAGGTTGCACCTCGTGTCAGGCTCGCAACCTGCCAAACAAGTACAGCCAGCAAATGATCCTCGACGAGTTGAACGCTGCAGGCGCGACCAGCCTGTGCACAGATGCGCCAGGCTCTACGTGCATTGCCGCTTGCGCCCACATTTTCCACCGCTCGCGTGCGTCAGTGCGACATAAAGACACAGTCGCCGTGCCACACCTTGAAGTCATCAAGATTTGCATCGCCGCGCCGCGCGCCTGGAAAGATTCGTTGCCGCATTGTTCAGATCAAAGCTTCAAGTTTCGTTTGAGACTTGACACAGCCTCTTCTCACCTTTTTCTTGTCGCCTTTTGGGCTACAGTACCCCGCCCTTCAGCAAATACACGGCTTTACCTCATCTATTGGACCCCCGTGTGTTAATAACTTTGTAAGTAACAAGCGGGGTCAGCGGCAAGGCAAGGTGGCAAGTCAACCAAAACAAGGGTCCAAAAGCTGGCGATGAAAGAGAGAAAGAGAGCAGCAGCGCATGGAGACGCAATGTGCATGGAGAGACACCCCTTTCCGTAGAAAATTGCGTTTCACATCGAGGTGGCAGGAATGGGGCAGGAAGCAAAACCGAAAGGACGCCGCAGGCCCCACCAAAACATCGACGCAAACGGCTAGGAACGGCTCAGGTCACATATCGCTGTAGTAGTGGGGGCCGCTCCTGGGATCAGGCTTTCGGATGCAAAAAAGAAACCAAAACCAAAAAAAACAAGGGGCGCTTGCGTTGTGGCAATACATCCTTTTGGGGAAAATGGGGAAAATGTTTTACTGGAAGATGTGGATAGTACTGTGGCTGGGGCCAACGGCAGCGTCCCTATTCTAGCGGGATTGCCATGGCAAACCATCCATGCTTTCCCGAAAAGGGCGTTGCCTTGTGTGAGGTTGGGGGCCGGTTTTGTTCCCGCAAAACCCTTGAAAGTTTGGCTTCGTCGCATCCGCCTAAGGCTCTTGGTTAGGAAGGAGGCCTGGAGATGGAGAGGGGTTTGTGTTTTTCCGGTTTGGCGGAAAATACCACAGCCTGAGCGTGAGTGATCAGGTGATTTGCCGTGAGAGGCAGTCAAATTTGTGACTTACTGCAGAGCGCATTGAAAGAGACTGGGCATGTGAGCTAATTGTACAATATATATATATAGATTTCATGCGATGAAAAAAGTCCGGTCTTTGATGTTGACGAGTCTCCAGCACACAGGTCTCTGATTCAGACAGGCGCGCGCGTTCCCCTGCCTCTGCCCGTTCGTAAACAAGTTGGAGCCCTCAGCTCAAGTTTTCCCCCAGTGCATCTCTCTTTGTGATGTATGCCAAGCATGCAGTCGGATCAGGAAAGACCAGGACCAAGCCGACGTGAAAAAAGGAACGTTTCTGTCTAGTTCAGCCCAACCAAGCCCAAAGCCCTCGTGGACATAATGGTACCATATGGTACCAAAAAACCAATCCAGCAAAAATCAGGCAATGTCATCCTTCACCATCCAACAGCTCCCAGCTAGCCGACCCAATCCTCAACCAAGCAAGGGTTTTGGAGATCCGCCGACTCGCAAAGCAGCGTCGTCAATTGCAGCGCTCCGTCGCGCGTGGGGACAGTCTGCCCCGGAGGTCATCCTGCTCAATGTTTTGCAGGGCACACGCTCAGGTCAAGCTGTTCTCCATGTTTCTAAGCTGGTGACGGCCGGATCTCAAGCTCTTTAATGGAGGAGCCCGAGATATGGAGGAAGTCAAGTTAATGTTCGTCTTGAGTAGGCGCTAGAAAGGAGATGGCTTTACGAAGGGTGGGCAGGCGCTCAAAAACCTTAGGCGTCGCTGCCCCCGACTACGTGGTAACCATTGCCTTGGAGATTGGCAACCATGAGAGTTCCAACAACAGTCCGAGGGCTGCGAAAAACAACCGCGTGAGTGTCAAGAAGAAACGGAAGCGGAAACGACTTGCACTACAAGGAGGCACAAGCCTCAGAAGACTTTGCCAAGGTCAAGAAGACGCTAAAGAAGGGGTGAGAAAGCCATTGCGTGAAAGAAGTGGGGTTGGGTTTTTGGTGTGAATTGAATTAATGTCATGGAGCGCAAGGGGTACTTGTGAACTGACAAGAAATCGGGAAGCAACTGCGAATTCCCGTAAAAGTGTTTGCCATTGATTAGGCTCACGCAAAGCAGAGCGCTTTGATACTTTGCGCTTTGTTTTGCGCTTGGCGCAAAGTTTTATCATCGGATATACACTGATGTACACTGGTGTGATTGTTTGTGATGAGACACAAAAGACAACCCTTAAACAGTTCATGGAAGTTCGTGACTTAATTTTGTGCATGGTTTATTTTTGCAAATTTTTCTTGCATGAAGGCTTCGAGGGGGGGGTATGATTTCCTTTACTTGCCCATTGACCCGGAGACCAACGCCAACCGTGGATATGCGCTTGCAACCCAGGTGTCGCTGTTTCACGTCAGATCCTTCCGAAGGGATGGAGCCCTTTGTTCGTTGATGTCGACACTAGGTTCATCAACTTCATCAACCCCAGCTATGCATGGCTCATGCGCAAGATGTATGAGGCTGTGCTTTGTCGCATTTTCGTCCAACATTTTCTGATGGCCCAAGAGTAGTTGACAGGGCAAGAAGATGGGGAAATTTAATTCGGAGAAGGCGGCAGACAAAGGGGAAGCGCAACAAGTAGGAGGGAAGTCTTGCACTTCTATGAAGACTGAATGCCTAGCCTCAGGTTGTGTCAGTTGTCCCTGCTGCTTTGCAAGGATTTGAGGCAGGACTCTTTCCCGTGTTTGCAAGGTGCAAGCCATACCGCGGTGTGGGCTGCTTCCTCTTTGGTTTCTTTTCCGGCTTTTCCTCTATTCTTGGTTCCCCAGTTCCATGTACAGTCTTTAAGTATTAAAATAACCAAACGTATGAAAAGTACAAAAGAAATACGATTGGAAAATGCAATTTCACCAGTTGTATTTTTAGAATGCGCTTTTGACTTGAAAGTTTTGGAAAATACAGCCCTTAAAAAATGCGAAGCTGCAAGCAATATTCACGGAATTTGCACCCTGATATGCGTTGATATGGGTGGGATGGGAAGCTGGCCCCCTTGTCTTATGGAGCAGCCTGTTTTTCGGGTAGCCTGACCGCGTTTCGCTTGTTGTCAAAAATATGAAACCCGGATAACACCACATGTATAGTTTTCTCAAGTCTGTATTGTGTAGCGCAAAGACATGTTTGTGAAGGCGATGTGTTCGGCCAGTAGAGATCGAAGTTGCGCGTGTCCTTTTGTAGGTGAAGTTCTTCTTGATGCTGCTGTAACGAAACTGCCTTCTCTGTAGAATGGTTGGAGGGGAGTCAAAAGAGGCAACTGTGGCAAGAGCTGCAGCAGACCCTCCTATAGACTGCAAATCACCATGTCAGGGACACACCAAGGAGAGCCGGCGACCGGCGGCGACAATGTGTGATGTTGGGTGTGTGAGGTTGAGTGTGTGATGCTGAGTGTGTGATGCTGGGCAAGCTTGTTCTTGGTCAACAAGCCTCGGCCGCTCCAGTACTTAACCGCAACATTGAAGAAACACATGAAGTGAGAGACACACTCTAGTACTGTTTCAATGTTCAGCAACCCCTGAGAGCCCGCGAGTTTCACTGAAACACTCCCATGTATACCGATAGCCTAGGTCCTGTACTGGCTTTCTGCCCATCTGCCTGATGCTCGATGGGATAAGGTCTGATAGTTCTTACCGCCCCTCTCACCGGGTGAACGGTCAAAGTTCTTTTTTCAAATTCCCGGTTTGTACACCGAGAAGAGGAGTTCCCAGTTTGTACACCAAGAAGAGGAGTCTCGGTACACCATGCTCCTTTGGGAAGACGAACAGCGAAAACTGGAGGAGGGGGAGGCGGCGGGAGGCGGTGGGATGCAAGCTAAAACCCCGGTTCGCAGTTCGAGGCTGAAAACTGGTATATTTTTTCAAATATGAATAAAATTCGACTTTCTCTTTCGTATTTTCAAAAAATAGAACGAACATAGAGCCAAAAAATACAAAAAAACACATACAACAAGGGCGAAAAAATACGACCCGCGAAAAAAGTACAAAACAAACGACCCGCAAAAACTTACAAAAAATACAAATACGACCCGCGAAAAAATACAAACCACATACAAAATGTGCCAAAACGGGTGTTGAAAACACATTTTGCAAATTTTTCGCTTTGCTGCCGCGTCGACGAGGGTGCTTGCTGATTTTGCGGACCGATTGCCTTGACTTTTATTTTGCCGCGATGCAAAAAGACAGCAAGTTCGCAAAACAGCTTCTTGCAAACGTATAAAGAGGACAACGTGACGCAACGTTCAATTGCCTTGGTGAGTGCTATTTGCATTGTGGCCCTCATTCGAGTTTGTTGTTAGGACGTAGAACCATGCAAAAAAGCTATATTTCAGTTTAAACGTTTTGTTTTTTGGTTTCTTAGCTTCTACCTGAAAGCTTCTCCCGGTACCTGCTCCACAATGAATTTGAGCGCCGCCCATCGCCCCATTTTCATCGATGTTATCAGCTTTACAAGTGTCACAGCTGCAGAGATGGTGCCAAGGAAGAGGGCAATGGGAAAAGAAAGGGCCTGTGCAGAAAGGTCGACAAAGCAAGGCGAAGGCAAGGCAAGGAATGGAATGGAACGGAAAGTAGGCAAGGGAAGGCATTTCGCCGTTGCGAAACTATGAGCGCATCATCGCGATGTGTCGCAAATTTCCATCATCGTCTATCATCGGGCTCAGGAAGCGACAGAGAAAGACGTGAGAGAAGCGCATTGGCAACCCAAACGGAAAAGCGGCAAGCGTGCCCCAAAGACTCTGTGGACACTGTGGCCACTCGCGCCTTCATCTCAAGCAGGATTTGTAGGGCCGCTTTCTGCGTGTACCAGTCAACCACTGGGGTATATGTACGCAACTGTTTTCTAATGAGCGCGCAGCGTTATGCTTTGGCCCCTGGGTGAGCCTCTTTATTTGAGTGCTTCTGTAGAGAATTGTGGATTGCAGGAGGCTATTTGCAATAGTCTGGAAACTGTTTATGAAGCACGCGTAACTTATGCTCTTGAAAGCCATGGCCAGCGCCACAGCTAGACTGCTGCAATGTGCGATAGCAGCACGCGTACGCGAGCGATTGCGTTAGACATATTCTGTGCCAACCACCAATAACAATAGTTTCTCTGTGTTCCCTCTTTACAAAAAGCTCATTTTCTGCAGCGCGCTAGACATGTAGCGCCTGGAACGTGAAATATGTTGCGCGCAAAGTGTTTTTCCAAGCGCCCAAGCTCACACAGCAGCAACGCCCCACAGCGGCGCCAAGCGAAGCGGCGGCCTGCAGCAGCGCCAGCGCCCAAGCTCCCAAGCGGACACAGCAGCGACGCGCGCAGCTCTTCCCATACTTGAAGTAAGAGCCCCAAAAGGAGACGCTACCCGCTTTTCCTTCTTCTCCGCTGTGGTTTGTTGTACCCAGTGGTTTGCCCATCCCAGATCCATCATAGATGGCGCGGACCTTGTCGCCCTCATCGATCGCCGCCGTGGGACCTGGGCAGAGGTCAGTTGCGCCTCCATGCCGCCTCAGTTGGGGTGTAAGGGCCATCAACCATGCCCATTTCCTTTTCTTCTTCAAAGGTGGCCTTAATGTTTCGCAAAATCTTCTGCTGAGTTGTAGTTGGACTGCCCCTTGCGGGGGCTAGCTCGTCTGTCAGGTCTGGCTGGCCACGGAGTTCTTCCTTCGTTGGCCACACGCCGGGGGGGGGGAGGGTTGGTTCCGTGACACCCAGAAGGAATTCCCTGTCGAACCAAAAGAGGGTACTGCCAGTCCGGATCCTCCGCCTGGCTGGCCAAAGCACTGATCGCCTCCAGGTAGAACGGTTGGCCCACCTGCAATGAGGGCACTTTCTCGACGAATGCAGCAGGGAAGGGGTAGGACTTCACGTCCGCCAACTGGGATTTACAAAGTTGCAAAGTTCCAGGATCTTCAGGCCTCGGTCTGCGGCGCACCGCAGCGGCGTCAGCGCCTAAGCTCCAACGTGCCCAAGGTCCGAAATGCACGCAGCGGCGCCCTGCCGACACCAGCGCCCAAGCCCCCAAACGTGCGCAGCAGCAACCGCACACCACCGCTGAGCAGAGTGCCGCTGCCGATTGCGGCTGCAGGGTGCTGCCCCACAGAGAATCTTTTTGCTATTTGGGATCTATGCTGGCGTAATTGGATGTAGAGTGGGCAGAGCGCTTCCCCAATGTTGCCCTCGCAGGACTTGTGTCAGCGTGTATGATGGCTCCGCGACTTCTCAGGCGATGCGTGGGGAAAGCGCGGCAAACGCACAGCGCATTTCTGGCAGCGTGGAAAAGGTTCAAACTTGGGTTACCAGATAGCAATAGGGGCTCTTACTTCAATTAAATTAGCTGGCTGTGCGCGCTTAGACGACAGGGTGTCGGTGCTGGGTGCTGGTGCTCGGTGTTGGGAGTCGGCCACGCTGTCGAGACAGGGTGTCGGTGGTGCTGCGCCGAAGGAAAGCCTGAGGGTGTAAATTCGGCGTGTTGCTGGGAAGCGGGATGATTGGCGGTGTTCGCGAGGCTTTGGTGTTACATTGTCGTATCTGGTTTGTGGCACACAGTGTGGCGACGTGACGTCTGTAATGTTGCGGTGCTATGCGATTTTGCGCAGCCTAGTTGAATGCGTTTGTGTGAGTCCGTTCCATGGCGGAAGGAAAACATGCTGTTGAATTCGGAGTGTTGCTGGGGAGTGGGACGATTCGCTGTGTCCGCAAGGCTCAGTATATTAGCGCCGTTGTGACTGTCATCATTGTTATCGCCACCACCATCACCATCATCATCTCCTGCTGTGCTTTCGGGTCACCCCGTCGTCTAGTTGTTTGTTTGTTTGTTCACCAGATGGCGAAATGGGCTTCTTCCTGCGTATATAAAAAAGGCTGGTGCGCGCTTCGGAGCTAGTGTGTTGACGGGAGCCTTGCTGCCCACAAATACATTTGGTGCTATCAAGGGCCATTGCCGATGTATTATTTTGGTTTGAGGGTGGGGTCGACCACAGCGACAAGCGAGCAAAAGACTACGTGCCCCAAAATGTTTCAAATTCTTTGCGCGCTGCGCTGGTCTTGGCGTAGTTTTTGAACAAGCAGCCTGCGTTTTCACCTCGCGACTGCAACCGGCCTCGTGGACTAGCCTAGCCGCCTGGCCGACCGGTGAGGCCAATTATGCTCACTATTCGGCTGCAAGGGCATCTTTCCTGCAGTGTGTATGGGATCGTTAGCTGCTGGGTGATGCGCTTTCGTTGACAACGAACTTGGCATGCCGACTTTGAGATTCGAGCCGAGGTGATGCGGGGGCCCCCACAAACACGGCCGCTCTTCCTACGGGAGTCACGGCCTCGCGCGTGAGACTTTCAGCCGTTCTGGGTTGTTTGGTTGGTTGCCGTGTTCCCGGCAATTTTTCCAAAAAAACCAGAGTCTTTAACCTTTTTTCGAGGTGTGGAAAGGTCAAGGCGGAGCGGCGACGCGGGGGACGACGAGCGCAGGCGCCGACAACGGTGACGACGGTCGCGGTGTTTTGCCCCTGCAAGTTAAGAACTTAGAGCGAGCTTCGCTCTGATAAATGACTCGTCCCTGGTAGTGCTGGTCAGTTCGCGACAACCGCGTAGTCTGACAGACACACAGAACAGAAGACAGGCGCCATGCTGTTCCAACTGCTATTTCTTCTTCTTCTACTCCCGCTGCTGCTCCTGCTCCTGCTCCTCCTCCTACTACTACTACTACTACTACCTACGTACCTACCCGCCTACCTCCGTGCCTGCCTGCATTTTTTAATGTTGATCCTCGTTTGCGCATTGTTTTTATTGCAACATCGCAGTTTTTTGTTTGTTGTTGATCCCTGTTTGTTTTTCTTGAGATCCTCCACCCCTTAAATACGTCCTCGTCTTTGTCTGAACATTTTAAACGAGCTTGCTCATGGTTTCTTGGAACGGCTCTTCCAGCTGCAGCTTTCGTGAGACGAGAGGTAATGGTAATGTGCGCTGTTGGTCTCTGTTTTAGGCAGCGTTGCATCGGCTGTGAACTTTTCTCTGGCGCTTTGAATTGTTCACTCTAGGACATGTCCCGTCAGCTTTTTGCAAGCTTGGGCTTTTTGGAAACTTTGTGCAAGCCTTGGCCTAAATCTTACTCGTGCCCCAGGCTTTTGCTTTGCGATTTTGGGGCATTCCGACTGTACGCTTTCTAGCGTGTGTTTTCAAGTGTGAACTGGGCTGTGTGTGCATGGCAACGATGCAATTTTGAGTGCGAAGGGGTTTAGAAAACGCCGCGAGAAACATCGTGTTGCGCTGAAAGTGTCAGGGCAGCCTCATTGACGTGGCAGTTCGAGAGAAGGGGGAGGTGCCATGTCTGCAACAGGACCAAGTTTGAACAGCGCTCGCAGCAGGACAAAGTACTTTAAATCCATGACCGTTTAACACTTGTCACAGTTGCTTTTTTGAAGACAGGGTTTTCAGTGTTGTAACTTTGTTGGGTCGAGGCCGGTGAAACAAAGCCTGGCACTAAGTCTCAGCCTAACCTAAGCCAAAACAACGTGAAACCAGCGAGGATAGAACGCTTCTTGCGTGTTTTAATCTCGGGACTGGTGACCCAATTGGTTGACAAATGTTTTGCTGGTAACAACTTCAAGTTGAACCCGGAATTGAATCGACGCAGAACTCCGCAAACAGCGGCTGTGAGATCTGCAAGGCAAATTTCCGGAGCTTGGGGCGACACAGGTCGGTCGGGCGCTCTGGGTTTAGTAGCTTCTTGTTCCTAGTAGCGATGCCAGGAGCCCCTAGTAGTGTCCTTGCTCCTAGTAGCGATGCCAGGAGCCCCTATAGGTAGCGATGCCAGGAGGTTCTATTAGCGTTCTTGTTCCTAGTATAGCAATGTGCAGAGGGTGCTGCAATGGTAGCGTGTGGGCTCAAAACCAAGGGATGTAATCGAAGGGGTCGATCACAAAGTGGCCTATGGCACGTGTCAAGGCGCAAGAGGGGCCCCTCTAGGATTGGGCCAAATGTCCACCATGTGCATCATCAGACGTGTTCATGTATGAACCCTGGTTGAACTGCTGCATCAACGCCAAAAAAATTCTGATGATGCCTGGTGACGCGAGAACTGCGGCCCAAGCCAACTCTCATTGCCCGTGCTCAAGTCATGTACTGGTGGTTGGTCATGAGCCAGGTCGGTCAGGGCATTCGTCTTGCGACGGGTGGTGGCATTCTTGACCTTGTGTCCAGTCACCTCCTTGATGGCGGTGTGTCCGCTCTTCTTATTGCGGTGGTAGGAGTTGAACGCTGGGTCAAAGCGGATGCACCACTTTCCAGTCTTCATGAAGGTCTCCAGGCCGTCACGACAGTCGGCCTTCTTCTTTGTCAAGGCGTGAGGCAAGTCGTAGTCCGACGCCAGCCGAAGTTCCGAGCCGACGGTTTGGAGACTGTCTCGAAGCTGAAAGGCTTGGAGCGCTGCCCTAAGGTTGCTCAAACCTAACAAGGGGCTGTCATTGCGCTCAACCGCGTCAAAGCCAACACGGGAATCCGTGCAGAGGATTCCTCTCACCAGTCGAGCTTGCTGCTCAGCTCGGCCAACCAAATCTCTCGGCCACTTTGTCGGAGGTGTCCACCACCGTTGGAGCTGCATCGTTGCTCCCCAGCGCCTTGCGGCGAAGCTTCCAACTCTTCCATTGGAGGAGCATCATCTTGTGTGCGGCGAGGGTCGGGTCAGTGAGGAGTTCAGAGATTGGCTAGCCATTGGAGTCCTCCAGGTGTCGTGCGGCATTAATTGATTCTGCACTTGTGAGCAGTCCTTCACCTCGAAGACGTTCAGGGTCAATTTGAAGATCACCCTGGCCATCAATGTAGGCATTCTGGTTGACGGAGATGGAGAAGGTGCCGTCGGCGTGGTGCACAGTCACCACATCAGTGCGGGCATGGCGGTAGTCCTCTGTCTTGATCATGCCCCATTTGTAGGCGGAATCAACTTTCTGGCATACCTGAAGCCATTCACTGTGAGGGCGGTGGAAGTCGTCGACATGGCCAGGGATAGCGCCGATCAGGTGCGGAAAGACACCAGCGGCATCCTTCTCGGTGGAAGAGAACCATAGCCAGAGGCAGCGTTCTCCCAGGGCAGCCTTTGCTCCGCACTTTTTCAATGATGAAGGTCAAGCCGGTCAAGCCAAAGACCTCGTGGAGCAGACTTCTGCTCCTCCATCAACGTCTATGTGTGAGAAAGAACCCTGGGCCAATGGGGTATTAGAGGCTGCCATCAAGGACATCAAGCTGACGGCAATGGCCATACGATTTGAGGCACTTGACCAAGAACCTGTCATTGGCGACGCCCGCCTTGAATGCCACAGAATTCACTGCGCACATGCCACTTCCCAAATGCCATCCTTGTTGTCCAAACAGAGGTCAGTGAGACCAGCCATCATAGTCGTAGACAACGTGGTCAGCAGGAGCGCGAGCTTCTTGGCTACACAGAGTGGCAGTGGTGCCATCACTGTGAGTTGCCTCCATCCCGAAGGCCTGAGCCAGGTTGACTGCCTCGACCTCCTCGACCTGCCTCGACCTCTCCCTCTCCCACTTGCAATCGCGGATGACCTTGAGGAGCTGCTCCAATTCCTGAGAGGTCAGGTGGCGGTCCATGTCCTGCAGGAGTCCGGCTGGTTCCGGCGTCTGAGCTGCCGGAATGACAACTTCCCAGGGCCCAATTGGTGTAGAGCGGCTCGGCGATGAAGTCTTCACCGTGGCCTTGGCTTTCGGTGAGAGCTGCTGCCCTTGGTCTCCTTGTGGCGGAGGACCATGACATGGACCTGGACATGGCTTCGCGGTACTTTTTTTCGGTTTCCTCGCAGAAACCATTTCTTTTTGGTTGAACCAATTCTGT